TCCTATTATTATTAAGAACTGTAAATTAACTATTTGATATATATAATATTGGCTGGAAGTTAAGTAGCATTTTGGAATTTATGAATTATTAAGATTAATTTTTTAAATTGAAAATTACTAATTTCACATTGTAATAACTAATTTCTTAAGTAAAATTTAATTGAAGCAATCCCAAAAAATTTTCATAATTTATCCTAACTCTAAGATTACATTCTTGATTCAAATTAGATTCTAAAATTTCCAATGTTGCATTGTGATCTTTAAATTTTATAGTAAAGAGAATATTTATAAATACTTTAAGTTCAGAATAAATCATATTTGTTAAGTTATGCTATCAAAAATAAAAGAGTTCTTAAAGCATGCTCTCTGGAGGGCAAAGTTAATAAAATTTCGAGCTCCAACAAAATAAATCCTTTATTTCATGATTATTGTAAATTAAAATAAATTTCTTTACATACATGAATCTATAGAATAACTCGATTTAATAAGATAAGGGATATCGAGAGAGAATGGAATATTAATAAATATAAATATTCTAATATTGTAGAAAATTGAAAATTATTCAATTACATATTTAGTGATAGTTGAATTTTAGATAGAGGGTGGTATAGATTTGTTTCGAATATTTGGAAAATTGTCAATTTGATCCCTAATTGTTGATTTAATATCCTTTGGGGATTGAGTTGATGTTTTAGTTTTCGTCCATTTCATTCTGAAAGAATGAAGAGCCTCATTATTATTACTATTATTGAAATAATTATTACTTTGCATTTGAAAAATAATTCATTTAAAATTACTAAAACACAGTCTTAATTTTAGTAATTTAATCAAAAGCGATTACTACTTAATAATTAAATGCTAACAGCTTTCATTTGGTGAGGACAATGTTTAAAAATTCTTCATTCTTGGTTGTAAATAATTATAAATAGTAAGGGTTTGTAATGGTGAAGCAACTTCAACATACAAAACTAATTCTAAAATTATTTTAGAATTTTAATTATTATATAAGTATTATTATCAATATATATTCCTATATTGTTGTTTAGTTAAGGAATTATTATAGTTGAAAAAAATCATCTTTAATGCAAAAATATTTTTGAAATAAACTCGTATTTTCATCCTAAAGTCTAACATTATGTTATTATATTTAAACTAAATACGTCAATAATGTGAATATAAAAACATATAAGATGATAATTTACTCAACATCGATGATAATTCGGTTTGAATTATAAAAAATATAATAAAAAATTATATTCAAAATCAAAGTTAGCTAAAAATGCTTATTAATAAATAATCATCCATTAATTTAATTAATAAATCTAGACTTTTTAGCTGATAATATAAAGTCAAAAGGGATGCAAATTTTTAATTGAAAATCTCCTAATTAATAATTGGTTAATAACGTTGATAATTTTATTTTAATAGTTTCAAATATTATTACGTGTTATAATAGATCATACCAATTAATTTACTTAAAAAAAAAGGATAATCTTTTATTTCGTCCGGGTCTCTCAATGAAACACCCAACTTTTTCATAGGGTTTTCTATATAGTGATTCACTTATCCATTTACATTCTTTGAAATATTGCCTTGAAATGAGATCTTATTGCATTCAATATTATTCAACATTTCATCTTTGTTTGGTGAAAAATATGGAGGTTTCCCACTAATCATTTTGATAGAGTAGAATTTCTAATTATTATATATATATTATTTAAAACCTAAATGATACCAATCAACAGCTCGTCCATTTCTTATTGTTTTAACATTTCTGGACCCAATAAGCCATGGATCCACAGAAACTTTTAGCTCCATAATTATCTCCAACTTCTTCTTTTGATAATTCAAAACCAGTTAACATAGCATAACCTTGTGTATCAATAACAATATTTTCCGGTTTTTAATTTCTATTTATATATGTCATTTTATGAAGATGCCAGTATTTCTGCAATTTATAATCCGAATTTTTTATTAATTTTAGATAAATCCCCACCTGAACAAAAAATCGATCAATAAACACAAATGATTATTAGTTTAAAAAGCGTATCTTAATTTAACAATGTCTGTATGATTTAAATAGGATAATATATTTTTTAGTTAGAGCATATCTTATTAAACTATGACATAAAATTTCCTTTTTAGCAAAAATTTCATTTGAGACTTTATGCAGCTTTAGTTTAATTTCTTCTCTCAACTAAATATACATCTCCAAATGAACCTTTATCGCTTCGTAATATAATTCTGATTTTCGAGGAATCTATCATTTCACTTTGATTTAGTTAATACTATTATTTAATACTCAATTGCAAGTTGATTAAGTGTTGTTGAACGATTGGATATAGAAAATTAATTGTCAGTTTATGGTGTATAACATTTTGAAGTTTTTTGGTACTGATTTGCTAGATAATGTATTTCTGTTAATCTTCGGAATCATTATAGATTTAAACTTTGTGACATTGGTTGAATGATACTTTTTCATCTGAAATGAATTTAAACAAATAAATACCTATAATTTTATTCAATAAATTTTTTTAGAGTAGAATTATTTTATATTAATTCAACAGGAGATTTATTATCCAAATTCTTTTCACTTAACTGCAATGAGAGTCTTGCCAGAGGTATTTCTGCTATTTAAATTTCTTTTAATAAAGGAATAAATAAACTATAGATAAAAAATTAACATGCCTAATGTAATGCTGTATTTTGATGTCTTTCGATAAAATGAATATCAGACTCAATAGTGAATACTATTGTAGCAATGGTATCACACCCATTTTAAGCACAAATGATTAATGTCGTTTATCCTTGAGCATTAATAGAATCACTATCTGCTTCATTTATGGCTAATAAGAGTGATAAATCATAATTTTAGTTTAGACAACTGTAATGAATTGAAGCAAATCCTTTAATATTGATTTTTGGTCTCAATTCTTTAGTGAAGATCTCTATTAATTATTCTACTTTTTTGTTGTTTTTCTGTTTGCCATTGAGTATTAGAAAGTGATTGTTTTCCCTTTTATTACCACCAATCTCGCCACGCTGATTTATGTTTTTTTTCAATTTGCCATATATTCTTTATTAACCTGAATCTTCTCGACTTATCTAATATCATAGATAGTTCATGTTTTAATAAGTAAAATTTGAAACCTGTTTCTTGATCTTTAAGAAGGAACGTTTCGTCATTGAATTTCTATTTATATGAATTAACTGGAGCTGTATTTATATGTAAATGTGAGATACGTACTTTGGATGATTGATTCTACTTTGCTGCTGCATCACTAAATATGTTTACAACATACTCAAAACTTGTGGAGTTTTTAGAGCCCCTAGATTTATTGCTTTACAATTAGAAAGAATTCTTAAAGAACTTTATTTTTAATGATTGCTTTAGTCGAGTAGAAATACTTTTAATCAGGTTAAAATTGTTTAATTTTCGTCATAGTTTGTTCTGCATTTAATTTATTATTCATTGCTGATGGTGCTCTTGGAATTTCAGGTTTCTTGCTCATTATATTTAAAGTTGCAGTTACTACATTATTCGATTTCCTGAAAATAAATTAATATTGAATAGGACAAAGTGGCATCTCTAGAGTATTGATTGGTAAAATTGGATGCTTTTGCATGAAAGAATATTTATTTAAATTCTGATTAGGATATATAAATCGATGATAATTACTTAATTACATTCATTAAAATCATGTATCATCTTCTATTTATTTTCATTTATGCGATTCCTTTAAGCGATAATAAAATGACCTTCAATTTTAATTAGAGGTAAGAATATTGACCTAAAATAAATTAGTATTAAATTTATCGAATTATCACTTTTTATTATTTATTATATTTGAGAAAAACCAGAATAATTTTGAAATTACATATTTTTTGATCAAAACACTACAATAAGTTTGAGTTTAAAAGAAACAGCAACAAGCAATGGCTTTGAAAAGAATCTAATTTTACAATTAATTGAACATTCTCCGGCCTTGCTTTACCTGCAGATGGACTTGATTTTATATGTTTTGAATTAAAGTTTTTATAAAAGATTTCCAATAAGATATTTAAAAATATGTTAAATATATAACCGTATTTTCTTGCCACGATTAATTAAACCTATGAGATTATTTAAGAATCTTTTTAAAGGCACAAGCTAACCTTAGAACTTTTAAAGTCTTCTATAAATAAATAGACTTTATAAACCTTATTAAAATGAGTTAATTCTATTGGAAAACACATTTAGAATTAATATTTCATATCATTTTTTCTCATGCAATAATATTCTATATGGTCTAACAACTTCTTTTTTATTAACAACAAAGTATTAATTGCTTATCATATAGCTTCCTCCCTGTCTAACTTTCTTGGGATTTACTCTTGACATAAAGATAGGTGCAAATTATTTATTACCAATTATAGTGTATCCAGCATATCCTAATTAACATAAACGTTAAAATCATTTGAAAAATAAAATCCTATTCCTACCTTTACAGTATTTCCAGACTCATCTTAGCAATCATACTTAGCACAAACATTACCATTAGTAAGATTTAAATTATTTTTCACAATTGAACTAACAAAATGCTACTTAGTACCGTGATACATAATTCTCCATTCATTAGGATTATCATCCATTTTTATTCAATCATCTCCTTTCTCTTTTACAACCTCTTTTATATTTAACCAAAATCCATAGCAACCTATTGGAAAATAATAATCATATCTATAATTTGGTGGTCCTCTCTTTTCATTCTTAGGAAAATTATCCCAACTCATATTGTGAGAAGAATTAAAATCTTTAGATGAAAGAGTGACTCCTTTTGCAGATTTACTTGCTTAATCAAAATATTCTACATATTCAACTTTTCCATTATAATATTTATTTAAGAATTTCTTTGCCTTTCATTTTTATTCTTTAAAATCTGTTAATAAATAGAATCCATATCATTTCCTTAAAAATTAAAGCTAATTTCAAAGCTTCTCTTTGATACTCCTAAAATTTCAATTTAATCAATTGAAATATCAAGTGAATTTGATAGTTATTATTGAAAATCTAATAAATGTTGTTATAATAATTGATTTCCATTCACAATTTTATCATAATCAAGATTTGTATTTCTAACTTTTAGACAATATTAATCAGAGCCAAAAGATCCTATTATTGAATCAAATCCAAATGAATATTCTTGACTTGTTCTTAATAATTCTCGATTTTATTCTCTTAATAATGATTCTTTTAAAACAAAAAGTGAAACTTCAGGATTTGAAATTTCAATATTCTATCTTACATGAGGAATTGATTTTAGCTTCGCCTTATTATTTTAATTTTTAAATAATTATTATTGTTACTAATTTTTATAGTATTATTATTGATTATTTGTAAGATTATTATTTTTATGTAATTTATTAATTTCTTAGTTCAATATTTAGATTTATTGCTAAATTGGTTTTTTCTAATTTCTTCCTATTATTACGCTTATTAAAATATTGGTAAAATGTGTTATTTAATAATTCTCTCCTTTGCTTTATTTGTTTTCTTGAGTCTTCCTCTTATTATTTTATTTTTTTCCTTTGTTCCTCCTCTTATTGTAAATGTTATCTTTTCTATTCCTTCTCTTATCTAATGATTTCTTATTCTTTTTTCATGTTTTCTTCTTCAAGTTACAGTCTTTTCCTTTCTTATTCTTTCTCACGTTTTCCTCTTCATCCTTTTTCCTCACCCATTCATCTGTAAGTTCTGTAAGCTGAAAATATATTATATCATCTTCAAATAGCCTTTGCCTTCTCCTATTTTACCTTTTGCAATAAATAAAGATAAAAATAGCAACAACAATAACAATAATAAAAACGAACAATAAAAGGAAGTGCATTAAATATATTAATTATTGCTTTTACAAAAGAAACTGTTAATAAAAATTAAATTCTATAAAAAGTTATTTTAATAGAATTCTGAAAAAAAAACTATAAAAATTTTATTCTTAATTTTATTACAAATAATAAATAATTCAAAATATAGCATTGAAATTATACTTAGAAATTAAATGAGAATTAAAATTTGTGACTTAGTTGAATTAAAAAGTTAGGCTTTGATAAGGATTTAAAGAAATTGGCATTTCTACTTCTCAATTTTATTTTTCTCATTTTAATTCTTGTTTATGTACAATAAAAATTATTAGTAATTATTTTCAATATAATATTAATTTAATGATAATTTATTCAAAATTTATAGATAAAATAAATTAGATAACGAATATTTAGTATGTAATTCCGAGAGCATCGAAAACTTAAAGCATCTAAGTTTCAAAAAGAGATGGAAAAGAGATGGAAAAGAGATAACTCGACCTTTTAAGCTTCCACTAACATCGATAAAAATATACACAAAAGTGGGAAAAAATTGATTACTTTGAGAAATTAGATATCTAATTTTTTATTTCTATTTTTATCTGCGATTTGGCAACTCTTTGATTATCATGAGCAAACCTTTGCTACTAAATGACCTTTGTGGTGTGTTTCTACATTTATACCAAAACAATATTTTTACAAGGTTAATATTAAACACCAAAGACAGAATCCTGGCCACTTTCTTTTGATTGATTTTTCAGTCTCTGTTTCGAAAGCTTAGGGGGTTCTGCCCCTACCACCAGAAACTCAGAGCAAGAAATGCAATTCTTAACAGCATTGAGAGATGATTTTAAAAAGAATAAATAAATGTCTTTCTACCTTGAAAAGGCGTTAGACAGTAAGCTATTTATATTCATTTATTGTCTCTGTAAACAACCTGACATCAACTCAAGGTAGATCCCCTAAAAACCTTAAATTTGTGTGGAATATCACGATGTATCTTCAGAATTCATAAAATTAAGAACTTTTTTTCTTTAAAAGAATCCAGGAAGTTTGCAATTAGGCCTCAACTTTAGAATGCAACAGATTTAAAGATAAAATATTTCTTAAGTGGAAAATTCTGATGAGTCAATACTTCATCAGGTTGAGATTTAAGTTTTTTAATTCTTTTTTCTTTCGTAGACATACCAATGGAAATATTCCTCAACCAAACTTGGCTTTAATTATATATCATCTATCGTATAGGGCTATTACAAAACTGATCAGAAAATTTCTATCAAAGCTAATGTCACTTTGCCTTAACTTATAACCTGTTTATTAATTTCTTTGCCACTTTCTAAATCTCTGGGCCATTTATTTTCTTTTGTTGCTCTCTACATATCTCTTTTTTAATATGCTATCAATAAATAGACTTAGGTCCAGCAGACTAACATTGATATAAGAATAAAGTCAAAAAGAAATCTAAAGTCTCTTCTACCTCTCTTGTTAAGTAAAGGATCCTGAAAAAAAAAACTAGGACAATCTAGATTACTTTTAAATACTAGGTATCTTGAAGTAACTATTCAGTGGCAAGAATTCTTAAATTAGGTAAGGTTCATAATACCTTCATCTCTAATAATTAAGGCATAAGTTATTCAATTTTCTTTAACTTTAAACTCTGAAGATGTTATTGCATTACTTTTAGTTTTTCTTCCATAATGGAAAGGGAAAAGAAATATATGAAAAATGTATCAGCGAAAGTTGAATGGTTTTATTTTTTGGATAGACATAAGTAAGCTAGTAGAGGAGGTCTGACTCTTCAATGGGCTTCCGAAATCAAAAGGAATATGATCCAATAATTAATGGAATATTCAATTGATTAATGAAATAAGGATTGCCAAAACCTATAATATGTAATCTAAAGATAAATGACCTAATCTAGATCCAATCGAAATAGAATAATATAAAAATTAATTTAATTAATATTAATTATTAAAAAGGCTCAAATAAAGATTNAATCCTGGCCACTTTCTTTTGATTGATTTTTCAGTCTCTGTTTCGAAAGCTTAGGGGGTTCTGCCCCTACCACCAGAAACTCAGAGCAAGAAATGCAATTCTTAACAGCATTGAGAGATGATTTTAAAAAGAATAAATAAATGTCTTTCTACCTTGAAAAGGCGTTAGACAGTAAGCTATTTATATTCATTTATTGTCTCTGTAAACAACCTGACATCAACTCAAGGTAGATCCCCTAAAAACCTTAAATTTGTGTGGAATATCACGATGTATCTTCAGAATTCATAAAATTAAGAACTTTTTTTCTTTAAAAGAATCCAGGAAGTTTGCAATTAGGCCTCAACTTTAGAATGCAACAGATTTAAAGATAAAATATTTCTTAAGTGGAAAATTCTGATGAGTCAATACTTCATCAGGTTGAGATTTAAGTTTTTTAATTCTTTTTTCTTTCGTAGACATACCAATGGAAATATTCCTCAACCAAACTTGGCTTTAATTATATATCATCTATCGTATAGGGCTATTACAAAACTGATCAGAAAATTTCTATCAAAGCTAATGTCACTTTGCCTTAACTTATAACCTGTTTATTAATTTCTTTGCCACTTTCTAAATCTCTGGGCCATTTATTTTCTTTTGTTGCTCTCTACATATCTCTTTTTTAATATGCTATCAATAAATAGACTTAGGTCCAGCAGACTAACATTGATATAAGAATAAAGTCAAAAAGAAATCTAAAGTCTCTTCTACCTCTCTTGTTAAGTAAAGGATCCTGAAAAAAAAAACTAGGACAATCTAGATTACTTTTAAATACTAGGTATCTTGAAGTAACTATTCAGTGGCAAGAATTCTTAAATTAGGTAAGGTTCATAATACCTTCATCTCTAATAATTAAGGCATAAGTTATTCAATTTTCTTTAACTTTAAACTCTGAAGATGTTATTGCATTACTTTTAGTTTTTCTTCCATAATGGAAAGGGAAAAGAAATATATGAAAAATGTATCAGCGAAAGTTGAATGGTTTTATTTTTTGGATAGACATAAGTAAGCTAGTAGAGGAGGTCTGACTCTTCAATGGGCTTCCGAAATCAAAAGGAATATGATCCAATAATTAATGGAATATTCAATTGATTAATGAAATAAGGATTGCCAAAACCTATAATATGTAATCTAAAGATAAATGACCTAATCTAGATCCAATCGAAATAGAATAATATAAAAATTAATTTAATTAATATTAATTATTAAAAAGGCTCAAATAAAGATTTCTTAAGAAGCAATATATTTCAATTATGTCTTGTATGTTATTGTATAAATTATTAGCATAAACCTCTTGCATAAATAGTGATTAATTCATCACTAAGCCTGAAAAAGAATTATAACAGCACTAATACTATGAAAATACTATAAAAAGTGGGTCGGGAATAGAAAATTAGTGACATCTATAAAATATCAAGAACTCAGTAAGTTTGCAATTTAAGAGACTTAAGAGATAAGAAAATTTTGGTAAATTTTTCATTTAAATAACCTAGTAAGCTAATGAATATTTTTGCTTAGAAATTAAATCAGTAATGAGAATATAATTAGATTAGGTTCATAGAAAACGGAAAATAAAAACTTTGAAAATAAGATCTAATTTCAGTATTGAATCGTATTAAATCTGTTATTACATTTAAAAATTAAATCTAATACGATGAATTTTAACCTTTGTTAATATTCTACATTTTTAATAGCTATAGCTGGCAAATCACAAATAAAAATTTTTTGATAATAGTTGTTGCAAAAAATTTTATAGTAACTTTCTCCCTTTATATAAATTGAACAGATGAGTTTAAGATCAATGAGAGTTCATCTATATGATATTTAAATTATTATAAGTGGATCAAATGCCCTTATTAATTTAATTGTTATAAAATCAGTTCATTCAATACAAGAGAATTTCAAAAATCCTATTTTTTAGGTAAGTATTATCTAGTAAAATACTTATTAACTACTCCAATACAGAATGGCAATATAGAATTTCCTTAATATTTTAATACAAGAAATATATTTCTAAAGTTTTCTAAATAATCCAGAAACTTTTATTTCCAATATTTATTCATTTATTATATCAATTAATTTCTTAGTTTACAAACTTAAGCAAAAATTTAACCCTTCTTTTTATCTTAAATTCAAAAAAGAGAAAATAATGAATTAGTCTATATTATTAGATTCTACCAAAAAATTAAAACCCCTATATACCCTGCTGTTTGTTATGCGAATAATATTCCCTTATACATCATCTTTCATAACATACCATCAAAACACACATTTTATTTATCATTTTCATAATTACTAACTCGACTAGAATCCTTGAACAATCTTATGTTTATCACAATATATCTTTTTTACTTTGATGATAACTATATATTATAGATAGCTAAAATAAACACATCAAAATATATAGTAATAAAAAAATAAAGTATTAGTTACTTATATTATAAGCTCANAAGGCATAAGTTATTCAATTTTCTTTAACTTTAAACTCTGAAGATGTTATTGCATTACTTTTAGTTTTTCTTCCATAATGGAAAGGGAAAAGAAATATATGAAAAATGTATCAGCGAAAGTTGAATGGTTTTATTTTTTGGATAGACATAAGTAAGCTAGTAGAGGAGGTCTGACTCTTCAATGGGCTTCCGAAATCAAAAGGAATATGATCCAATAATTAATGGAATATTCAATTGATTAATGAAATAAGGATTGCCAAAACCTATAATATGTAATCTAAAGATAAATGACCTAATCTAGATCCAATCGAAATAGAATAATATAAAAATTAATTTAATTAATATTAATTATTAAAAAGGCTCAAATAAAGATTTCTTAAGAAGCAATATATTTCAATTATGTCTTGTATGTTATTGTATAAATTATTAGCATAAACCTCTTGCATAAATAGTGATTAATTCATCACTAAGCCTGAAAAAGAATTATAACAGCACTAATACTATGAAAATACTATAAAAAGTGGGTCGGGAATAGAAAATTAGTGACATCTATAAAATATCAAGAACTCAGTAAGTTTGCAATTTAAGAGACTTAAGAGATAAGAAAATTTTGGTAAATTTTTCATTTAAATAACCTAGTAAGCTAATGAATATTTTTGCTTAGAAATTAAATCAGTAATGAGAATATAATTAGATTAGGTTCATAGAAAACGGAAAATAAAAACTTTGAAAATAAGATCTAATTTCAGTATTGAATCGTATTAAATCTGTTATTACATTTAAAAATTAAATCTAATACGATGAATTTTAACCTTTGTTAATATTCTACATTTTTAATAGCTATAGCTGGCAAATCACAAATAAAAATTTTTTGATAATAGTTGTTGCAAAAAATTTTATAGTAACTTTCTCCCTTTATATAAATTGAACAGATGAGTTTAAGATCAATGAGAGTTCATCTATATGATATTTAAATTATTATAAGTGGATCAAATGCCCTTATTAATTTAATTGTTATAAAATCAGTTCATTCAATACAAGAGAATTTCAAAAATCCTATTTTTTAGGTAAGTATTATCTAGTAAAATACTTATTAACTACTCCAATACAGAATGGCAATATAGAATTTCCTTAATATTTTAATACAAGAAATATATTTCTAAAGTTTTCTAAATAATCCAGAAACTTTTATTTCCAATATTTATTCATTTATTATATCAATTAATTTCTTAGTTTACAAACTTAAGCAAAAATTTAACCCTTCTTTTTATCTTAAATTCAAAAAAGAGAAAATAATGAATTAGTCTATATTATTAGATTCTACCAAAAAATTAAAACCCCTATATACCCTGCTGTTTGTTATGCGAATAATATTCCCTTATACATCATCTTTCATAACATACCATCAAAACACACATTTTATTTATCATTTTCATAATTACTAACTCGACTAGAATCCTTGAACAATCTTATGTTTATCACAATATATCTTTTTTACTTTGATGATAACTATATATTATAGATAGCTAAAATAAACACATCAAAATATATAGTAATAAAAAAATAAAGTATTAGTTACTTATATTATAAGCTCAATTACTCCAATCCTCGATCAACTTTGAGGCAAATTAGGCAAAAGAATTATAAAAAAAGACTTAATGTAATTTGATATTATCAAAAAGCATTCTATTGTTTTAGCCCTTGAAAGTAGGATAATTTATTGAATACTTGATGAAGAAAAATTACATAAAACATATATCATTAAAGAGTCAAATTATAAAGTATAACTAAGAACATGAAAAACAATTTTTAATGATTTTAATATACAAAGTGATTTATTCCTTAGGCCTGAATTTACTCAATATGAGGAGATAGTTTTAATTATTCACCAAGGTAAAATGATTTATTTTTATAAAGATGCCTCAATTTATATCCCCAATCGTTATAATAATTACAATATTTTTTTTGATTAGCCCATTTTTTTCATTACATTACTACAGATCTCATATAAAGCAGGATATTATATGAGGGATTGATTATTGTCATACAAATTTTCTATTGTAAAGGACCTGTAAAAATACAAAAAATTTCTAATTGTATTTATAATTGTGTCTATGCGGACCATGCACAAACCGCCGATCGAAATGGTTTCAATGTGTTTTTAGATTTATCAGTCTAATTTATAGGATAAATTTATATGTATTTTTATTCAAATATATAAACAGATGTAGTTTACATCTTATGAAAGATTAAATCTAATATAAATTTTAATATCTACTTTATAAATAAAATTTTGAGCTTTATTTGAATATGCTAATTTGATAGGATAAACGTAGTTTAAGAGTTTCTTGATATTAGAAGAGATTTCTAAATTATTTAAAGTGATACAATAAAATTGGTATGATATAAATAATTTATATTGAAAGATATGAATGAAAACAATAGTATATTTATATTCATCATCAAACTAGTATATTCTCCAATAATTACATTTTAGAGTTATTAACAATACCAACACATGGATAATTCTTACGATGTATCTATATCAACTATTAATAATCTTTTATTATATTTACAACAACAAATTTTAATTAAGGATTATTCTAGTTACTACATTTAATGTATTTATGTTCAATAAATGCTTCAATTATTATTATATCATTATTTGTAAATTTAAATGATAAATACTTATCATACATCTTTGTTATGATGAGAATAATTATAACCAGCACTATTGATTAAATATATCCTATATATAATATAATTACCATACCCAGTATTATAACAACTCTGATAACTATTTTTCTAGATAATCGCTCTAAATCCAATTCCAACCATAAAAGTGAACCACTAAGAATTTAAAATGCAAACTACATTTTCCCAATAATTGGATTGCTTATTCACAAAGACAAATATATCAATTACAATTATTACTAATTTCTTCCACTAATTTTGCACCTTCAATTACTTAACAATTACCATGCTTAGAAGTATATGAAAATTATAATGATTTGTTATATTATTAAATCTAGAAATAATATTATAAATATACTTTTTTCTAATTCCATTCTGTCTTATTTTTCATATTCTAACTCTAATTATTAAATTAATCAACTTTCCTTAATGCTTCTTCCAATTCTTAATCGCTTTAATTGAAATTTTTATTATATTCCCATTTTATTTTATTTTCTTTTTCATATTACTTTTACATATTTATATTATCTTAAATGAGTTTTTGAAGTTAATCTTTTTATTGGTTTTATTCTTTTTCATTTTGTTTTACACTAAAAGAAAATTTCTATCTTTTATTTTACTTTGGAAAATTAGCAATTAGTACTGAATAAGAATCAAAAATTAGAAATTGGCAATAAAGAAAATTAAAAGGTCTATGATGATTCTTGTCAATCATCAAAAAAGATGACTCTTAATACTTAAGTATTCTCTTGAACTGTGTAAGTCTAAAACACAACTTATTTAATAAGTATTTTAATCTTTATAACTTTTACTGATGAAGGATCTATAAAATAATCCCTCCTAATTTAAATATTTTGGAAGTACCTTCGTTTTTTTAGAAAGATTAAAATTATTTTACTTTAAGTTGATTTTCTTTTTACGATACCTGGATATCTATATAGATGTTATTTTTAACAATATATCTAAGCTAAAGGCTGATATAAATTTTAATTAGAATTTATTCAAATTGATAATTAAAATAGCGTTTCACAAAACCATTCATTTTTAATAAACAGAAAAATTCTTATTCTATAAAGTCGGAAAGTATTTTCTTTGCAATACACAATAGAGAGTACATTTTAATTGAATACTTTTTAAATAAATAGATTTAAAACAAAATTTATTGACTCTAAGATTTAGTATAAGCTCAAAATTACTATAAAGTGACTTTATGATATTTATTATTGATACCTGATTTTTGACTAAATTTTATAAACTTTATAAAGAAAATAAAAAAAAATTTCTAGTTCTATTCAAAAAAGTTGAAAATAGGTTCCATGCTTAAAGAAATATTCTTATTCCTAATAAAGGTTTATTAGAATTGATGGTAATCATTATGAAGAATTTTAGATAACCATCAAAAATTTCATTTCTTAATTTTTTTTTTCAAACAAAAAATATCAAATAGAAATGAAGTAAGTTTTTGATTTAGAATGATATAATGTTATAAGCTTTCAATAGTAATTAAAGAATTTTTATTTGATCTATGTCTATATTCAACTCATTTTAGTATTGATTATTTAGTTAAGATATCTTAGGATGTATAAAACATAATGAGGATTTACATTTTCCAATTCAAATTTAACATCTATTTTTATCAGCTTAGATGATACTTTACTTGATCTTAAAAAATCTGATTCATTCTTTCATTTGATATCTTTTAGAAAATTTTAAAGTTGGTGAAAAATACATTACTAAGAAAAAAATCAATCAAGAATTCACTCTTAAATAACTACATAAACTATTTTGAAGTTAATGATTTGATTTATTTAAATACTATTTTTATTTGCCTTAAAGCATTTATGTTTATTAATTATGATTTGAGATGAAAAAAATTCTAAAATGGCAGGTCAGATAAATTATTTTACACATAGAATTTATTTGAGAGTGATGTATTTTTAAGAATGGTATTTTGATATTCTGATCTGCTCATGTTTGATTTTTTAAAGCAAAATGTAACAAGCTATTTCATATAAGATGTTTTCATATTAATTGTTATAATCTGATTATTCTTTTAACAAAACTATTTATTTTAGAGTGGAGACTCATTTGAAAATAACCTTCATCTACTCTAGTACTAGTATCTTCCATCAATTAACTTTAAATCTTTTAGATCTATATGCAATTTAGACATAATTATACCAACCTAGTTAGCATTCGCTAAAAGGAAGATGCCTCAGTCATTACTAAAACTCTATTTTTGTATTAGATCATTTCATTGTCTGCTTCTGTATTCTTAAGACTAAGTCCTCGCTATTTAAATTTAAAAGAAGTCCACCAAATTTATTTTAGTTTTTAGTTATATCACTCAAAAATGACTATTAGCTCAACTAGATATCTTGATTCATAATTAAAATTAAACATGTTTCATACTAAATTAATTGAACAGTTCAACAATAATATGTCCAAGTTCAGAATTAAAAAATATATGCTTAATTTTATCAAATTTCTCAATGATCAGTAGATCTAAATTCACTATAAGATATTATAATCTTAATATATAAATGAACTGCAGGCAATTCTATGCCTTTAGAGAATTATTCTCCCAAAAAATTATGGTAAAGGATTTAATTCTGATTTACCACCACTATGTAGCCCATATATGTTTAATAGAAATATAGTTCTATTTCTTTTTATTTTATTGATTCAAATTATTTAAGTCCAAATTAAATCTTAATTAGAGCTTTATAAAGTGCTTCGAATATTACAAAAGCATCTGTGCTGAAAAAGGTAACATTTTACTCGATAATTGTGGAGTTGATATCCTTTGCAGATTTAACCTTAATGTACCCTATATCGAATTACAATGCTCTAGGTAGCCATTACATCAACAATGAGTAATAGTTAATATGATAATTATATATTTAGTTAATAAAATATATAACTTTAGAGTTCCAAAAGTGATTTAATTTTTGGATAACTCTTTGCCATATCTGGTTTAATTAGGGTTAATTATACCTTCCCAATTAGTAAATGATCTCTCTAACGACAATTTAAAGGCTCATTCATTATAAATTCTACACTCAGAAGCACTCTATAATTAAAGAGTTATTAGGTATCCCTAATAGATTTGAGCTTATGAACTGATTCTAGATTTAAAGATTGATATTAGGACTAAGTCATCAAAAANTAAATACTATTTTTATTTGCCTTAAAGCATTTATGTTTATTAATTATGATTTGAGATGAAAAAAATTCTAAAATGGCAGGTCAGATAAATTATTTTACACATAGAATTTATTTGAGAGTGATGTATTTTTAAGAATGGTATTTTGATATTCTGATCTGCTCATGTTTGATTTTTTAAAGCAAAATGTAACAAGCTATTTCATATAAGATGTTTTCATATTAATTGTTATAATCTGATTATTCTTTTAACAAAACTATTTATTTTAGAGTGGAGACTCATTTGAAAATAACCTTCATCTACTCTAGTACTAGTATCTTCCATCAATTAACTTTAAATCTTTTAGATCTATATGCAATTTAGACATAATTATACCAACCTAGTTAGCATTCGCTAAAAGGAAGATGCCTCAGTCATTACTAAAACTCTATTTTTGTATTAGATCATTTCATTGTCTGCTTCTGTATTCTTAAGACTAAGTCCTCGCTATTTAAATTTAAAAGAAGTCCACCAAATTTATTTTAGTTTTTAGTTATATCACTCAAAAATGACTATTAGCTCAACTAGATATCTTGATTCATAATTAAAATTAAACATGTTTCATACTAAATTAATTGAACAGTTCAACAATAATATGTCCAAGTTCAGAATTAAAAAATATATGCTTAATTTTATCAAATTTCTCAATGATCAGTAGATCTAAATTCACTATAAGATATTATAATCTTAATATATAAATGAACTGCAGGCAATTCTATGCCTTTAGAGAATTATTCTCCCAAAAAATTATGGTAAAGGATTTAATTCTGATTTACCACCACTATGTAGCCCATATATGTTTAATAGAAATATAGTTCTATTTCTTTTTATTTTATTGATTCAAATTATTTAAGTCCAAATTAAATCTTAATTAGAGCTTTATAAAGTGCTTCGAATATTACAAAAGCATCTGTGCTGAAAAAGGTAACATTTTACTCGATAATTGTGGAGTTGATATCCTTTGCAGATTTAACCTTAATGTACCCTATATCGAATTACAATGCTCTAGGTAGCCATTACATCAACAATGAGTAATAGTTAATATGATAATTATATATTTAGTTAATAAAATATATAACTTTAGAGTTCCAAAAGTGATTTAATTTTTGGATAACTCTTTGCCATATCTGGTTTAATTAGGGTTAATTATACCTTCCCAATTAGTAAATGATCTCTCTAACGACAATTTAAAGGCTCATTCATTATAAATTCTACACTCAGAAGCACTCTATAATTAAAGAGTTATTAGGTATCCCTAATAGATTTGAGCTTATGAACTGATTCTAGATTTAAAGATTGATATTAGGACTAAGTCATCAAAAAGGATTGCAGGACTACCGAAAGTTTGATGTCTTGTTATTTGTAACGTTTTCTTGTTTTATATTATTATGCTTAATTTATTTGCATATGCATCTTAATTCTAGGCGTTACACATGTAACCATTTTCCTTGAGATTTTTTAATCTGATCTTAGTATTTGAAGTATGTCTTTTTACTCTGTTTCAAATATAATCAATTGAAAAAATGCAAATATCACCTACAATTGCTTTTTAAATAAGTGGAATACCATACATTCTATATTAAAAATTATTTGTTTAAGTTTTCTTAAATAAAAGTTTCATTATGTAAATTTAATAACTAAAATTCAAAACTCAAATAAACAAAGCATTATTGATTTTACAAAAGAAACTTAAATACCAGCATAAAATAAAAGACAATTTTAGTAGTTTGACATTTTCGATTAGAATAAATGACTTAATTTTCTAATACAAGATGACTTTTACATTAATTTTTAGATTATTGCTACTCATTGGATTGTACTGTCATATCCGACTTTTCAAAGAAAGTCTTTATACACGTATTCCAACAAAACGATTAAGAAGTAGCTAAAATTATAATTAAGAATGTATTCGAAACAAACAATTATCCATTTTGTAAAAGATTATTTTATTTTCATTACAAAAATGAATGCTTTACAGTTATTGAAAAAGTGAGAGTATTTATTCACAATATTTTAATTCATTTTTAAATAAAAGTCTTTAGTAATCCTTTCAAAGATAATATTTTAATTTTATCCTAAATGTAAATAACTTTTCCTATTTAGATCAATCAGCAATATCCTTTGAGTATTTATGTTAATTCCTAATTTGTTTATTCAAAGCAGGTTCAAAATTACTGACAAATATTGTCTGCTTTAAAAGATGTAATTTGTAACCTATAACTTCAAGCAAAATTACTATTAATCTTGAAATCGATATACTCATAATTTATTTTACTCTATTATTTGGACACTTATATAATGATACTTGACAATGTAGAAGATCTGATTTTTGAGATGAACTTCTTTAGATTAGCTTCTAAGAGTTTTTGATTATGATCTATAATCTTTGAGTATTATATTTGTCTCAAATTGGAATTTATGATGTAGTATTCTAATTTTTCTTCTGTTGTTCAAAAGATATGAAAATGGGATATTAGATTACTCCCAATTAATTTTAGAATTCTTTGGAAATTATGAGAAATGACGAAATTACTCTGATACAAACTAAGTTTAAAATCCACTCAAGGTTTTAAATTTTATAAAAATTTATTTTTTTCATATTCCTTAAAATATAATCTAATTCAATATGTGTGCTTAATAGTAATAAATCTAAATACAATGAGATATTAAGTTTTGATCATAAATATTTTTACATTACTAAATATTGGAAATCTTTATTCAAATTTTATAATGATAAATAAGCAGCTGAATATTTGTATAAGAAATAAATTATAAATGTGGAATCATAATTCCAATAATTTGAATAATTAGATGTATATTGTAAAATAAACTCTTTAGAATTCCTTTTAAAAAACATATGCATATTATTAATATAATGTAGGATTTTCAATATACATTTAAATTCAAGCAAATTATATTTAATATATTTCACATTCCTAGATTAATGGCTTTTCTTATCCATAAAGGTATGGGTTGTTATTACTACTTGTTTATTAATTAAATTGATATGCTGTTCCTAATCTAGAGTAGCCATCATTGAAATCCCCATTTATGTAAATGTCATCATAATTTCCAAATGATGGTCCCTTACCAATATGGCAATGAATCGCATTGGCTTTTTAATCAGGTTTCAAATTGTATGTTAAGTCATGAGTTTATGAAAAAATAAAAGATGTTAAAGTTTCATCACAAATATTACCTTTGTCAGACTGCCATTAACAAGGAGAATATGCTCCAAAGATATTACCACTACTCGATTTAAATACCATAAACAGATGGCCTAATCCATTAGCTTTCTTCCAAAAATATTCAGCCTTCAATCCATCTCTTGTACCTAAATATATATCTTTAAAGCTCTTAATTGTCTTCTAGGTTTTCTATTATAAAACATAAAAGATTTTAATCCAAAATTGATCTTGAAGTAGTTTTGGCTTTAATATCTAATCAAGCTTCTATTCTAAAAATAGTTACTTAAAAAATTATTGTAAAGTTTCCGAATGAGAAAGATTATA